TTCTGTGAGGGGTTTAGAATGATGACCACCCACTGAGGTTTAAAGAGCTTAAAGGCTGATCCTTAAAGATAACACAGAATACACTATTTTACTATTTTACAAGGTCAATATAAACAATACAACTAGCCATGGCTACAATAAACAATTGAACTAGCCAAAGTCACTATAAACAATAGAACTAGCCAAAGTCACTATAAACAATTGAACTAGCTACGGTCAATATAAACAATAGAACTAGCCAAAGTCACTATAAACAATAGAACTAGCCAAAGTCACTATAAACAATAGAACTAGCCAAAGTCACTATAAACAATAGAACTAGCCAAGGTCACTATAAACAGTAGAACTAGCTACGGTCAATATAATCAATAGAACTAGCCAAAGTCGCTATAAACAATAGAATAAGCTACGGTCAATATAAACAATAGAACTAGCCAAATTCACTATAAACAATAGAACTAGCCAAGGTAAATATAAACAATAGAACTAGCCAAGGTCACTTTAAACAACAGAACTAGCTACGGTCAATATAAACAATAGAACTAGCCAAAGTCACTATAAACAATAGAACTAGCCAAGGTCACTTTAGACAATAGAACTAGCTACGGTCAAAAGAGTTACCTTTCGCCCCCCCCCCCCCCCCCGTTATCAGGTGGTCCATCCTAGCACCACAATTAGCCATGACATATTGATCAGCTGATACCCGTCCCATGCGTCATGTGTAGGCCCGTCAGTACTCACGACAGGCTCCTGGTATCAGAGACTTGGAGGATGCCATGCACTTGCTGGGATTTAAAACCCTGTGTCGGAGATTTTCGGTTGATTATGACTTGCAACCTAATTAATTTGGCTTTACATCGTTTGTTGATTCTACGTGTTCTAGTAATGTTAAATTATTCTAATAAGTGTCTTTAGGATAGACTTTTGTGTAAGAAGTATTTTGATGCTTAGTAGAGATCGGAATAAAATTATGTTACTGTTTATAAGTATGGAGTTAGTAGTATTTAAAGACATTTAAACATCGTAAGAATAACAAGAAAATATATAACATTATTTTAGTATTTTCAACAAACTGCATTTCTAATTTAAGTCGAAAAAATAGAGAAGTTTTAAGGAAACTATTAAAAGTTATAAAAAATATTATGATGAAACTATTTCTAACATAGCCTAGCCAAGTGGTCTGATGAAATGATTCAATTGATATTGATTCCTATGGCGTTGGTCTTACATTTCGAACCAGCGGAGTGCCAGCAAACTCAGATGATTTTTGAATACAATACAAATGTGATGGAATACAAATATTTTTTTTTTTGAAAAATTCCTTTTCGAATGGTGTGTCTTTAATAACCTTGCTTTTAATTTTTAAAGTCTCTAAGGATTGTTTATAATTATATTGATTTTAAATTCTTCTTACCTTAACTGCATTGTGTTCAGTGGCGTAGCTAGGTCGGGTGTCACCCGGTGCGGCACTTAATGGTGTCACCCCCAGAGGCGTAGCGACCCTTCCCGGGGACAAACTTTCAAGTTTTCGATTTGCATCCCCCCCCCCCTCAAGTTTTTGATTTGCACCCCCCCCCCCCTCAAACTTTCGATCTGCACCCCCCTCAAGTTTTTCTCTATATATTTAACTATTTTTTGCCTTGGTGTCACCCCTCTAAATGGTGTCACCCGGTGCGATCCGCACCCCCCGCCCCCCCCCCCCTCGCTACGCCCCTGATTGAGTTTAATAATTTTAAGTGTTTAAAAAGAAAAAAATATTTTGCGTCATATTAACGAAAAATCAAATATCAATTATTCATTTGAAGTTGGGTAGTCTGCTAATGACAGCAACATCCACATTATTTATGACCACACGCTTTCCCAGCAGACAGAAATTGTCTACCACCTTAGCCTAGAAAGTTTTTTCAATCTGATGAACGACCCACAATGTGAATTTATTAATGTTGTGAGCGATCAGGTCTCGAAACCAACCTAACCAAACTTTAACGATGACTGCAGCGATATTGAGTACGACAACATAAACACAAATAAACAGTCATGTTATTTCTTTTTAACATTTAATATAATTAAGCACTTCATTCAATGTCATCTTTAGTATGCAGACTTGGATATTGACACAATATATAAAACATACTCAAGAAACCAAATACTCTAAAGACTGTACTATAAAAATAAATATAGTGTGTATCTGTGTTTTTATCCTGGGCGTTACACAGCAATACTTCAAATAGTTAAAGACACGAAGATTGTTATGATATAGCCTGAATTAAATACAGTAGAAGCACATTGCATCGCGGATAGGGAAGAAGTGCTAAAGGCACACACCAATAGGGCATGTCAGGCGCTTCAGTGGAACCCCCGGGGGAGGACGAAAGAGGGCGCCCATAGAAAAGGAGCTGGTAGTGGAGTTTTCTGGAAGAGTTTAAGACCGTAGGGACGTCTTTGGTAAGATTGCAAAATATACAGACTGGGACCAAACATAGTGGAAGATCAAAATTGAGACCCTAGGCTCCTCAAGAAGTAAAATGAACTAAGTCAAATCACTTTAACCATTAATGACCCATTCCTTCTACCAAAACTCAACCCTTGACGGCCCAATGTAAGGAGCATAACTCTGTATGATCAAGTGAACAGTTCACAAAATAAAATATTTGTTTTTGTCTAAATGAAATTGAAAATTAAGATAACAACTACAGCTTAATGTTGGGAATAAACCTGGCTTTCCAATATATTATATTCGGTACAAGTAGAGTATAAAAATAAAAAATGTCAGAGAAAATCCAAAACAAGTCATTTCCGGTAGTCAACTTTATTTATTTTTGTCTAAACAACTATGCATCGAATTTAACAGTTAAATATAAATTTGGTTATGTTTAAGATATATAATTCATAAAATACATGCCTAGATACGTTTATAGGCATGATTTTATTATTTTATTTTTAATATTAAATCGACTATAAATAGAACAGATTAGTCTAAAATTTCGGGATAGAAAGAAACTAATATTTTGTATCTTTCAAAATCGCCATTGAAATTAGAAGAACGGAAAAGGATGCTAAAACTATCCAGCTTCCAGTTTAGTTAAAAATTAGGATTTGTTGGCCACATTTTAATGAGACAAATTTTATTTTCTATGTCACATCATGGGTAGCGGGCGGCAGCGGTCGTTATGGGTCATCAATGGTTTAATGCTTTTGTTATTATTGATGTAAATATTTTCAAATTGTGTTGTGTATATGATAAATTTAAAACAATTAAAAAAATCATCATTGAGAAACTGAATGGCCTGGACAAAAACATATTCAAGAGCAGGCTGGTTAGGGCAATCACTGAACGGATTTATTCACCGCGTATCAATATTGAAAAGACCCTAGAGTAGCAACACTATAGTGTACATTATCTATGTAGTTCATGACTCGGTGTTTGATACTGTAAAAAAAAAAATTGTATCGTGACGATTAAGAGCCATTATGTTATTAGCCGAAAATGGTTGTCTATCTCGAATAAAGTTATATTCATGCATGTCAATATATATATATATATATATATATATATATATATATATATATATATATATATATATATATGTATGTATATATATATATATGGTATATACATAAACAAAACACTACATTGATAGCAAATCAAGGAACAACAATACATTAAGTATTTTTGAGAAAAAATTTTTAATTTTGAATACTATTTTTGAGAATAAATATGAGTCCTGTTGTCTTTATTTTTTTAAAATCCAAATTGAAACTACTAAAATGATTGTATATTCCAATCTTAATCTATGTTAAATATAGCCAAAGATAAAGATGTTGAATCTACGACTTCACATTGTAGAGCTGATCTTATCTGTGAGGTCGCTCGGCACAAGATCTGTTGGAGAGAAAAAAATGCAGATCAAGAAACCATATGTCATGTTCCATAAAATTGCTGTTTGTATAAAATCGTATAGCTGTTCCCGTTGTCAGGGACCTTACAAATTCATGTATATATTAGTATTTTATTATCGTAGTATAATCAAACCATTTATTCAAAATGCAAAACATTATTGTTTTAAGTGTTGTTTAAATGTATCTGAATGTTATGTTATACTAAAGTGTACTTCTGTTTAATATATTATTTATTTCGTTTTTAATGTTTTCTAATTTACGTGTTAAATATTCATGTAATTTTGAATTATTTAAATTCCGAATCTAAAACCAATACGAATTCTACTTTATATACAGATAAACATTTAATTACAAAAACAATTATGTTTGAAGTAACGAATTTATTTTAAGTAAACAATTAAATGTATGAAATTTACCATAGGGCACTCGATTGTATTATATTAAAAATGTGTAACAGTAAAAAATGTTTAATTTGCACTACACTGCTCTAAATTATAAGTTAAATATCAACGTGACCTAAAACCTCGCCATAAGTACATGGAGTTGTGGTCAGAGCTGTGGCCAGCATGTGTTACTACCCACCTACTGTCAGCTCCAACTATCATGGCTAAATAGTGGCATACACAATCCTCGAACGTAGCCAGGGTACGAGGTTTTCAACTTCTCATACATCACTACAACCATTACTACTTATCTAAATAATACATTGATATTTAATGTAAACTTACTCCCATGAAATACTGCCTTTAGTATCATACAACACAACACAACCATTAATGCTACTTATCTAAATAATATATTGCCATATAATGTAACACTTACTCCTATTAGTCACTGCCTTTAGTATTATACAACAAACCAATACAATCAATGCTACTCATTTAAATAATATACTGAGATTGAATGTAAAATTACTCTCATGAATCACATACGCTAGTACCATACAACATAACACTACATTAAATGCTACTCATCTAAATAATATTTTAATATTTAATGTAAACTTACTTCCATGAATCAATGCCAGTAGTATCATACAACATAAAACTACATCAATGCTACTCATCGAAATAATATATTGTTATTTAATGTACACTTACGGCCATGAATCGTTGCCTCCTTAGCCTTTCTTGCAGTGTTTTTCTAAAATTATAACACAAAACGATTATGTGAGATATTATTATTTTCTCGTATATACGAAGTATAGAGAAAGTATTGTCATCGTGCAAAAAAAAATCGAGATTTTTACAAATCTCGACGTTTTACACCTCACTGATACGGAAAAACATAATTTTGCAATCTTGTCCGTATGTCTGTGTGTCTGTGTGTGTGTCTGTCTGTCTGTCCGTGTGTAAACACGATTACTTGAGAACCGTTACAGCTAGGTTGATGAAAATTCATATATAAGTATTTTATCAAAATCGTAGATCCGTATCAACTTTTGAGCGATTTCCGATAACCGGAAGTGGTACTTTTCCTACTTTGAATTTTTCAAAAGCCTATAACTTGAGTACTATTTTAGATGGATAAATGAAATTTCACATGTAAGTAAAAGATCTAATTCTCTACCTTCTGTTAAATTTTGAGTAATTTCCGTTGATCGGAAGTAGTAATTTACGCTACTTCCGATTTCTCAAAAAACTAATGTAAATTTTTAAAATACTAATAATATTGCGCACTATTATGCGCTTTTTTATTTGGCGTTCACTTGGTGTGCAATTAATTTGTCTACGAGATTTTATTCTATTTTTAAAAGTTTAAGTATTTAAAATGGATTAAAAATCATGTCTATAGCCCGAGTTCCCATCCCCTGTTATTTTATATAAGAATATTCGAGAAAGTTTAGGGGAGATCACTCCCGGTTTATTTTTACTCTAACTTAAATCCAGCTTCATGAAAACTCTTTTTTTTTAAAATAGCGAAATGTAGTTAAAAATTGTTTACTTGTCGTTCTGGTAGTGGTAGCCGACTCTGTTGTTGTGTCTTGCGTTGCTATAACAGATACATTAATATAAGCCAATAATACATGACATTGCTATATCATATGTAATACACTTTGATGTTCAGTATATTAAATATTTCCTTTAAAAATAAGCCAATAATAAATGAAATAGCTATTGTCATATTCGATTCAGTTTGATGTTCAGTAAATTAATTATTTCCGTTACAAATAAACCAATAATAAATGAAATAGCTAGCCTATATCATATTCAATACACTTTGATGTTCAGTAAATTAAATATTTCCTTTACAAAACGTGTCTCAAATTTTACTTTCGACTATTCTGTTGTTGTTTTTTTATGTTCTGTGGATAGTGTATATATGTTAGATATTCGTTTTGTTGTAAACAAAGTTACTGTTTTCAAAATGTACCATATTATTAACAATTTAAAACATACAGTATGTTTATCCTCTTTATTTTAGCCTGCGGGAATCAAGCTACAACTTTGCATTACATACTTATCAAAAATAAATTTCTAAAAACAATTATATGTTTAAACAATTACGTACCCAATGAGCAGCGATAATAACCATACGTGTTTCTGTTACTCGTGGTATCTATTTCTTTTATGCCAATTTTCAGCTTGCAAACACCACTCACATAATTATAGCCAACAGACTTTGGGTCGTTTAAGGAAAGCTGGTAACATTCCTTGTAAAGTAAAGTATTAACATTAGCATGTTTTTTTTTTCGTGTCATACACACACATGTTTTTACGCAAGGTTTAAGATTGTTACACCAATGTTTTTCACCACATAAGTAAGAACTTCACTTTACCACAAGAACTTGATGTAGAGAGAAACATATTTAGAATTACGTAACGTAACTTAAATTTATTTGATTCTAGTTGGCTTCCGGAGGTACGTTCTCGTATGTTTCTGATAACTCAATCAATAAAGAAGAGAGCTCGCTTTGTGTCAGTTTATGCAAGCTTTGCACTAGTCATATCGTGTATCCTATTCACCCCCCCCCCCTCAGCATCTCAAAGACATCAATACCCCGACAATAATCCCAAATGCAATTACTCACATCCCTTCTCAAAGTCAGTATTATATAAGGGAAATCTAATGTTGAGGACTAGATATTAACATTAAGAAATAGAACGAGCTTACGAAAAGCAATCATTTAATAATTAAACTTTGAATACGAGGAGAGATTGAGAAATGCCGAACAACAAGTGCAATAACTGTTGTTGTGTATTGAGCCGGATGTAAGGACATGCATGGGGAGCTGGGGGCAGCTTAGCTTCAAAGTCGTAACGAGATGGGGCGGGGGGGGGGGAGACATATGTCCCCTGGCGCCGACCTTAGGGGCGCCTAAATGGGTTGGAGAAACAAATAAAAAATGTGAAGGGGGGGGGTAAATCGAAAGTTTTTCCCTGGGCGCCGGGAAGGGTCGCAATGCCTCTGCTTAGCTTTGGAATCTTCGATCAGAGTAAAAATATACCAGATTTACCAGGTACTGTGGAGAGTAGTGATTATTTCGGCAAAAAATCGAGGAAATACGCAGCGTGCTTGGATCCTCCCACGTCCAGTCGATGATGTAGATTATGCTCTCAGGGTTGAGAGAAAATAAGCGCCGTGATTATTTCATACACAGGGTGTAAGAAGATTAGAGTTTGCGCATGCATTTCCTCTTCAGTATGACGACATTGTCGCAAAAACACTTGTACATAAAATTTCGATTTTTAAGTAAAACCATACGTATTGCATTTTTCAGTTAAATCTCGTAATAAGTATTTTTAAATACAAGCGTTACTATTATTTAAAGCAAATCCTTACCCCAAAGCCCTAGCCCTAAATCCCTAACTCATAAACGCTAATCATAATTTGATAAGCCGAGAGAGTTTAATTATTTGGGTAATGACAAAGACTGTATTATTGGGTATGTTTATTATATTGCGTTTTACATGAAGCTGCATGAATGTAGAGTACCTGGCCAACGGAAGGACTGTCTGAGCGACTCGTCATGTATTTTTCCATGCTTTTGTGAGATCGCTCATTGACGTAAGGGGAGAGAAAGTAGTGTATAAAAGGTGGAGCGCAAGGTGAACAAGTGTGATTGCCTGTGATTGTGTAGTAAGATGTAAGATGTCACTACGTCGAATTGTTTCTAGACTATAATGTAATAGTAAATTTTTCTACTGTGGAATATGGTCATTATTTCTTATGGGTCTATGTAAATAATGTTTAAATTTACAAAGCACTGTTGATCATGTCCTTGGATGAACGAACCCAAAATAACGACTGTATTGTCAAACCAACAAGAAATACGTGTTGTTACAGGTTACATTTTACTTCGATTCTAATGTTTATTTGAAATGTGCATTTGATATTTAGAAACAAGATTGAACTATTATACAAAGAATTTAAATATTAGTTTTTGCTTTTGTAGATTACATATCTACCACTTTTAGACTGATTCGAATTGCAGGACTAAGTCTTTTGAAAAACTATAAAAACTAGCAAAGCACACTTTGTAAATGATGGTCAAAACAGAAAGGTCAACCGAAAAGACTTACATCATGAGTGGTGCTAGCTCCAATTGAAGAAATGATGTACGTCTCAAAAGGTGTGCAACGTTCTGGGTAGAAAGAAAACATACACACGTGCATTACTTTTTTTTTTCTCTATATACAGTATCTATAATAATAGTTTCGCTGTCTGTGTATGTATCTATCTATCTGACAAGAACGCTCTGTCTGACAAGAACGCTCTAGAGAAAACATAAGAAAAAATTCAATCTGAGAAGAACGCTCTAGAGAAAACACAAGCAATTTAAAAACATGCATAGTATTTCGAAAGACGAAGTAAGACGTCGACACATTTAGCATGTAGTTGAAAATAATCTCAAGGCGGAAAGTGCACACAGTAATATAATGACGTCATTGATTATCGCGTAAACATTGAATACAAAGGAAATGTTGTCTAATCTAAATGGTTTGCGTGAAGAGTTTCTTGCATACAATTCTTCGGGAAGGGGCGAAGCCCCACCCCACGCGTAAGAACGTCTGAGCCCTCCCCCCCCCCCCTCCCCAACTCAAAAGAAATTTCTTCATCGATACTCTATAATAAAATTACCGCCTAATTAATGTGTCTAATCTAAAAAGTGGTTTTCTTGCAATTTCTTTAATGCAATTCTTCGGGTAGTGGCTAAGCGCGACACCAGTGTTTCTTTCAGACTTTTTCCTCCCCGGAGAGGGGTGGGGGTACTTGGAATTTTCGGGGGCGGGTGTAGAATTTTTGGGGAGGGGCGGACACTGGAAAAAGTATATAATTATATTTCGTTGAATGGAACGGTAGACATGTTTTTTTTTAGAGGGGGTGGGTGGGGGTGGGGGTGTGTGTGTGGGGGGGGGGGGAGTGGGGGGTGGTTTTAATTTAGACTTTTTCCTCCCCGGAGAGGGGTGGGGGTACTTGAAATTTTCGGGGGCGGGTGTAGAATTTTCGGGGAGGGGGCGGACACTGGAAAAAGTATATAATTATATTTCGTTGAATGGGATGGTAGACATGTTTTTTTAGGGGGGGTGGGGGGGGGGGGGGATGGGGGGGTGGTGTGGGGGGGGTGAGTGGGGGGGGGGGGTTTAATTTAGACTTTTTCCTCCCCGGAGAGGGGTGGGGGTACTTGAAATTTTCGGGGGCGGGTGTAGAATTTTCTGGGAGGGGGCGGACACTGGAAAAAGTATATAATTATATTTCGTTGAATGGGACGGTAGACATGTTTTTTGGGGGGTGGGGTGGGGGGGGGTGGGGGGTGGTGGAGGGGTGGGGGGGGTGGTGTGTGGGGGGGTGGTGGTGTGTGGGGGGGGTGGTGGGGGGTGGTGTGTGGGGGGGGGGTGGGGGGTGGTGTGTGGGGGGTGGGTTGGTTTCAGTGTTTCTTTCAGACTTTTTCCTCCCCGGAGAGGGGTGGGGGTACTTGAAATTTTCGGGGAGGGGGCGGACACTGGAAAAAGTATATAATTATATTTCGTTGAATGGGACGGTAGACATGTTTTGGGGGGTGGGGGGTGGGGGGGCGGTGTGTGGGGGGGTGGGGGTGGGGGTGGGGGGGTGGGGGTGGTTGGGGTGGGGGGTGGGGGGTGGGGGGGTAGTGTGTGGGGGGGTGGGTTGGTTTTAGTTTAGAGAAAAGAGACAGCACTATCAACCTAGCGCCCGGTGTATCCTTCCTCAACGGGCCATTTTTCTCGTATAAAAATAAAACCATATTTTGGTTTGACAGCGTTCACCCGATAGCCTTTAGACTTTGGGGGAGTTGATTAACATATTGCATCAGTCACACTTATGTTTAAAACACGTCAAATATTTTTTACGTGTTAAAGAAAAAATCATATATATATATGTATACTAGCCGTCCCGGCCAGGCCCTGCTCTGGCTTCTGTGAAAAACCTACCTGTTAAAGACCATTACCTGTGTGTTTAGTAATCATCATAAACCCGGCATTGCCCACCCAAACCACAACCAACCAAAACAACAAAACGCAAACATAACGCTAACACAATTACAAATAAAAACGAAAACAAAAACCTAACAACAAACCCAACCACAATGACAAACACCAATACAAACACAAAGAAAAAACAAACAAAAATGCAACGAAAACAAAAAACCTAACAACAAACCCAACCACAACCACAAACACCATACGAACACAGAGAAAAAAACAAACGAAAAAGCAAACGAAAATAAACCAGATCCAAACGCAAAACCAACCACAAACAGAAATACAAATACAAATACAAACACAAACCCAAAGAAAAAAACACAAACGAAAACGAAAAAAGAAAGAACAAAAACGAACCAAATCAAAACGCAACCACTAACGCAAACCCAACCTAAACACAAAGAAAACACTAACGCGAACATAAACGCAAAGTGCTTATAGTCTAGCCCGGGGCAGAATCGCCTGTTTCAGCTTAATAATCGACTATAGTACCCCAACTTATTCATAGTCTTTTGCACTCACTTAAACGAACGTAGGTGCCAAACAAACCAAATGAACAATTATAATACTCCAAGCTTATTCGTAAAATACCTACAACATTTGCACTTGATCAATCCCCGCTAATTATGTAATTATCTTTTTCCCAACACCAAAACAAAGTAATAAAAAGTAAATTCTTTTCCACTAAGGCAATGTTTTATAAAGGGAAGTAATTGTGTTTTCCTAATTTATCAAAGGGAAGTAAGTGCTAAAGGACTAAATATAAATAATTTTCAGACATAATTAGAATTTTTGTTATTTTTTTAAAATTGTGTTTAATGAACATGCCGACAATTATTACTATCAGTTTGAAAAATGAAAATTATTTCCCAACACTTTCAATAGTAAATTTTTAACACATAAATTTAGACTATGCGCACAATAATAGTCTAACACTTAAATCCATCGAAGTATGTCAATTTTTAATTGAGCTTTGTAGATTATATATATATATATATATATATATATATATATATATATATATATATATATATATATATATATATATATATATATATATATATATATATATATATAAATATATATATTTATATTTATATATATATAAAACAAAATTGCTCTCTTTGATACAAGTTTAGGTTGATAAAATATGAAATAGATTTCATAAGCGACCCATGCTTTTATTGGAGAAAAAAAAAGGTTGTTTTATGTTCTTATTTTCAGTTTGTTTAATGGCATGTTTTTATAATTTGTTTGTAGCCTGTGTGTTTTCTTTTCCGCTTTTTACTGTCTCATATACAGAGTATAGAGGAAGTGTAATCGTGCAAAAAATAGAATTTGACATTTTCGCAAATCTCGACGTTTTACGACTCCCTGAGTCGGAAAAACATCGTTTTGCAATTTAGTCCGTATGTCTGTGTGATTGGATGTGTGTCAGAGGCGTAGCGACCCTTCCCGGCGCCCGGGGCGAACTTTCAATTTGGCGCCCCCCCCCCCGCTTATATATATATATATATATATATATATATATATATATATATATATATATATATATATATATATATATATATATATATATATATATATATATATATATATATATATATATATATATATATATATATATGTATGTGTGTGTGTGTGTGTGTGTGTGTATAATTATGTGTGTGTGATAGTGTGTTTATATATAAGCTTGTGTGTGGGTAAGAGTGTATTTGTGTGTGTAAGCGTGTGTGTAAGCGTGTATGCTACAGTCCGGACAAGGTTTAATAATTACATTGTATGATTTTCATTCCTTAAAACTTTACGACAATTTAATTCCCATTAAGATGCGTTTAACATTTTTTGCGAAAGATTAGTAATGTCAGTAAAAAAAATAAGCCTGATCTGTGTTAGAGGGTAGTTTGTAGCTAACGCTAATATGTTTAGACCAGCCTTTTATGTTCTAGTTTTGAACGATCTCTGTTGTGATATGGTACATAGTTGGATTCGAAGTTTGTTAGAGTAAGGACACACAAGTGACCAGAGGCGTAGCTAGGGGGGGGGGCGGGGGGGGCGGCCGCCCCGGGCGCCGACCCTATGGGGGCGCCAAAAGGGGTGGGAAAATTTTTTTAAAGCTGATTTTATGCTGCAGTTTTGAATTATAAACTGTCTAAGTTAAGAAACGTAATGGCTACACGCATTTACATACTGATTTAACTGTTTACTATCTTGATTTCTTAATGTAAAACATATACTCTTAAGAAACAGTGACCGGCAAAACCGCTTTGAAGCTTTTCCTAGATGGGGGGGGGGGCGCTTTTTCGAGACTTAAAACGGAAGAATTTACACTAGATTGTTGAGTCGATAAACGTTACCACTATTAAAAGAAACCAATTGTATTAAAACGTATTGTACGATTGTTGAACTGTAAAATACGTTAGTGACTTTTATCAAGATGGTGCAGGGGGGCGCTTTTAGGCTAAATAAAATAGCAAAATTACACAGGATTCTGAGTAAACAACCTTTAGCTCTCAGAAAGAAACGAATTGTACTGTGCATTGTATAATTGTGTAACTTTTTTTTTTTAAAAAGTTAGTTACGTTAAAAACCGCTCTACAAACTTTGTCCAAGATGGTTGTGATGAGTGTGTGTGGGGGTGGGGGGGGGGCGCTTTTTTCGCTAACAAAAATCGCAAGTATTTGTACTGGATTGGTGAGTAGATAACTCTCTTAACACTTAGTAAAGAAACCAAGTGTATTAACGCGTAATGTACAATTTCAATAGCCAGTTTTGTTAAAAAAAAAGACGCGACTAGTTCTTTGTAAGATTCTTACGATTCTCTCAACTTCAACGTGAGAGATCAGATACTTTTGATCAGTGTTTCTTCCAGACTTTTTTCTCCAGGGGGGCACTTGAAATCTTCGGGGGGAGGGGGGAGGCGGTAAACTTTCTTCGGGGGGGGGGGGGCGGACACTGTTAAAAGTATATATTTTCTATATATAAATTATATAAATTTCATTTGGTTCGGGGGGGGGGAGAAGGCAGGGCAAATCTGCGAAATCCAAGACTACGAGCTGTTAACATCCGTTGGATTCCAGTTTGTTTTCTCTAGCTTATTTTGTCATACCATCAACCAATCAACGAAATACCCATGTCGTATTCCAATGTGAACAATAAATATTTCTGATAACTTCTTCTTGTATGTCACTAATGTGTGTATGTATATGTGTGTGTCTGTGTGTGTCTGTGTGTGTCTGTGAACACGATAACTTGAGTACCGTTACAGCTAGGTTGATGAAATTTCACATAAAAGTATTATATTAAATTTGTGGTTCTATATCAACTTTTCAGTGATTTCCGATAACGGGAATGGGAACTTATTCTACTTTAAGATTTTCAAAATCCTATAACTTGAGTACTTTTTCAGATAGATAAACGAAATTTCACATATAAGTAAAAATCTACTTTTCTAACTTCTGTCAAATTTTAACTAATTTCCGTTAACTGGAAGTAGTAATTTACGCTGGTTCCGAGTTTTCATAAAACGCATGTGAATTTATAAAGTACTAGTAATATTCCACAGTATTATACACATGTTGTTTGCCGTTCACTTAGTGCGCAATTCTTTTTTCTACGAGATTATATTATATTTTTAAAAGTTTAAGTAATTAAAAATGGATAAAAAATTCATGTCTACATCCCGAGTTACCATTCCCCGTAGTGTTATAAAAAGAATATTCCAGAAAGCTTAGGGGAGATAGCTCCCAATTTTTTTGTCATTCGTTCAAGATGAAGTTGACAGTACACAGGCTTCTATTTAAAAAGAAATATTCGCGTTAATGCCCGATCAGTAGATGTGTAAAAGCCAGTTATCTGCCTTTAATAAGGTGGTGGTGGGAGCGACTCAGAGAAATAACAGATTAAGGTTATACTCGCTTGAAATTCGTTACTTTTTTTTTTTTTAGAAATTTTAAAATAAAATGTTATGATTAACGTATGTAATTAGATTTAAACATTGATTTTCTTGAATTGTTATCAAATAATAGGGTTTCAAAGAAAGTTTAAACAAAATAAAGTGTGTCTTCATTGAGTTATACTATTGAAACAAACCCGAAAACAAACAAACAAACTAACGTTGTGAACTAAGTAAGAGATTGTAAAAAATAATGGTCTAAGTCTGATTTAAGTCAGATGAATATGAAATAAACATGATAGCGAACGTACGTTCCTCGTATTGACAAAACACAAAGGCTTCGGCGTCTTGGTTGATTGAAGTGTCAACCTGGTCCTTGCTGGTGTAAATATCACATGCACCCAAAAAGAAATCGAAGTAGAAACATTTGGATGTTTGTACACAAGCCGTATAGCAGCCCTGTAAAATATAAATTTATAAATAATATAAATTTTAAATTAGTTAGTATTTTTTACAGTGTTAAGTATATTGGCGACCATATTAAAATAATGTATAAATTTCATCATCGAAGACCCGAATTAAGTTTAATTCTTACCTATATTTACATTAATTAAGTATTTGAAATATACATGGACAGAAGATCGGTCCCAATCATTTGAAAGAAACTACAATTTGCATAGCTTCCTTGTAAAAAAATGTAAACGTTTCATCGGCAACTATGGATAAAACAGTGGTTCTTAACATTAGTGGAGGTACCCAACCCCAACAGTTTCATTTGCGAATTTATGGTACCCTTCATAATAGTTCTATTTTTTAATGTCTATGCGTGTCTCTGTGTCTTTGAATGAGTAAATTTGGGTTCATACGATATCTTATGTGCTGACTCCGTTAGGTGCACCCTTGTTTTGTAGGGATTAAAATCCTCAGTTTTCCCAAGATATGCGGGTTGGGGTAAGGAGGATGAATAGGGTGGGTGTGTGATTATTTCTATTGTATGTCTTTTTATTTCAGTCGTTTAGATTCTTATTCTTAGTAACCTAAATAAGAGTGTTTATATAACATAAGTGGGGTTAGTTTAACTATAAATAAAACATGATGGTTCAATTATTTCCTGGGCCCCAAAACGTCTACAAAGTAAAATATGAAAACATCAACATATGCAATTTTCCATGTAACATGACAAGCGTTACACTTTATTCCTAGGTAAAATGACGTAAAAGTAGATTTATAGTGGTATTACTGATCACAATAAACATCTGCTATTTTACTAGACGTACTATTAATACTTGCTTCTAAGTGTAGGCTTAATATAGTAATATACACAATTTCTTCTTACGCTGGAAAGCTATACATTGCATGCAAGTGGTATTAAACGTTGAAAATAAATTAAGAAATGTAAATATTTTTAAATTTTTAATCATAGGCTTAGTAATCTGGGCTGAAATATAATTTTATTTACAATTTGATCATATTGAGAAAAAAATATTAAAAATGCATTAGAATAAATATTGAAAACTGGAATCGAGGGTGTATACCTATACACTTTGTTTTCAAATCTTACATTGAGAAATGTATCTTTTAAAAAATAATTTTTGAAAAACTTACATCCAGAAATTTATTTTTGAATAATAATTTTTTTTTAAATTTACAACGCGTAATTTATTCGTAAAATAATAAATTAAAAAAAAAAAACTACTTACATCGAGAAATTTGTGCGTAAAATAACAAATTAAAAAATCCACTTACATCGAGAAATCTGTTCGTAAAATAAGAATTAAAAAAAACAACTTACATCGAGAAATTTGTTCGTAAAACAATATTTTTTGAAAAAAAAAACTTACATCGAGAGTTGTAGCTGTAGAGCGAGAGTAAGAAAACTTGTTATCTATGTAGGATGAACATTGGCCTGGAAGGAAGAAGAAACTATTGTCACACACTTGGGCAAACAGACACACACACTTATATATGAATATGTTTGTTTTTTTAATTTTTTTTAAATTTATGTTTTTGTTAATTAATATATATATATATATATATATATATATATATATATATATATATATATATATATATATATATATATATATATATATATATATATATATATATATATATATATATATATATACATATACATATCGGTAGTAATAATATATCTTCCTTCTTCTGATTAATCCCGTATGTGCCAAAGACACATGAGGCAGATGAAGTAGAGTTCATATGAATGGCCTCGGCATATGAAAGGAAAATTGTGATCAGCATTATGCCCAGCCGCCTTGTTTCCCTAACGTAAGTTAGGTACCCATCAGAGCTGAGTTAACATAGTATAGTTCTTTGTATATTATTTATAGTTACATTTTAAGTTCCACCAAACTCGAGACTCTTAGGTTAGCAGTCTAGCTCTCTACCGCTAGGCCACGCTGGCCGCAGGAGTATATCAGCGATGTGTTAACATATTATAGTTCTTTGTATATTATTAACACTTACATTTTAAGTCTTTCTTGGGGGTTAAAATAACTAAGCATTATGATGTACATTGATCGGACTTAGCGATATTCAGCTGAGCTTCATCTACTTTTACCGTTAAACTTACTTTGGGCATAAGGTATGATGAAGAGCATCGCCAAAAGGGTAATTAGATCAGTTGTTCCAGAAGACATGTTCGTAGATTAAATGATCTGCAGATTGGAATGTTCTTATTGTTGAAATTATTTTTTTAAATTAATATTTGTAAAAGTATTGCTTTTTTTTCTCATCATCTTTTACAAAACAGATATGCATAAATATATCTATTGGTACATGTATTACTAAAAGTTTTTTTTTATAAAAACGTTAGCTTTTGCAAATATAGCATCTCAAATAATGCGATTGTTATGCGTTGAGTTTTACCTTTGAATGAGAGGTTAGTATTGGTGAGCAATATTTGTATTTGTTTTTTGGGTTTAAAGCTTGATATTTCATTACAATATCAATTAAAATAATATTAGCAAAAAAGTTAAGCTACGATAAATTAAACATGCATTTTTTTTCTAAATTTCTTATTAAAAAAAACAACACTCAAACTAAAAAGCCACCAAAATTATAAAAAGAAAACAAAAGCAACCTTAAATATAGTATAACATAGTATAACTATGTTTGCTAATTATTCTAATAAATATTTCTTAAAGTCATTGCTATAGCCCCTAAACAGCGTTACTATCTGCATACACATAAAACGATCGAAAAATTAACTCACCGAAGCAGATGAATTTACCAGCAACAAAGGGCGATAATTAGCAACAAGCAGCTACAGATAACTTCAATGGGTCCAAACAGCCGATTTTATGCACGGTCTGAAAACACAGTAACCAATCAAAACACTTGGGCAAAAAATCATTAAACCATAAAAAATCCAAAGGTGTACACAAACATCTTAGAACAATGAGATTTGAAAAAAAAACGACAGAAACACATACTCAGAGCAGTTAGGGTTGAGAAAATTGTGTTATAATGGTAGATAGAGTCGTAATAAATGTTGAGCAGTTGCCGGACATGAAAACGCAACAATTTGACAGTTTGAGCCAAATAAATAATGAGACCATAACATGGGTACCCACCATTATGAAACGCTCAGCACGCCTATGATTTATGTTAGTTTAACAGCAAATTTACATATCGATTACTAGATTGTGATTGGGTGAAGCCTGCTACGCCTTCCATCAAGCGAGCAAAGTCTCTTCACGTTGAAAAGTTAACTTCTGCTACGTGTATACGTGTCACCTATTGACTTTTTGGTCCCTTAACAAAAAACATTGTTTTATTTTATTTTTTAAATGTTAAACAATATATATTTTATTTCAAGTTTCGTAATGTCTAAACTCACGTAAAAAATTTTGTAGGCTAAGTAATGTTTCAGGAATAAAAAGCACGATCACATAGAAGGTGGGATGGAGTGGTCTAGCGGTAGAGAGCTGGACTTCTAACCCGTAAGTCGCTAGTTCGAATCCGGGTTCAAGTCAGTAGACCGTCCCTGAGTCCACCCAACTCTGATGGGTACCTAACAGAAAGTAAAGGCGCTGGGCATAGTGCTGACCACACTATATCTTCATATGCCGAGTTCACATAAACAACTGAGTTCTACTTCACTTGCCCTATAGACCGTCAGGCTTGAAAAGGGAATTTCTTCTTCTTCTTCACATAGAAGACAAGATAATTTTAAAAAATTAATTAACAACAAGTGAAAAAACATTACTAAAGAAAACACCACAAGTAAAATTTTAAAAGCGGATGACAAATGCAATGGTTATCTTAAAAAAAAACTAAAATGACAACTTTCAACACATAAAACAGCACATATACATAAAAGAATAAGAAAAGAACCACATCAGATTTTTTTTTTAAATGTGAAAAAAAAATTACATTATGTAAGTATCAATAAACACCATAACTGGAACACACAAAAAACTCTTGAACAAAACAAAAATAAAACCATATGTACCCATTCAAATACACAAACACATACATGTATCCCCGCAAATACATACTCAAACCCATACAAATACATTTATGTATCCCTGCAAATACATACTCATACATACTCAAATCCATACAAATACATTTATGTATCCCTGCAAAAACACAAACACATACACAGATTCATAAAAATGCATTTATGTAACCCTGCAAATACACAAACACATACTTATACCCATACAAATACCCTTGAAAATACACACACAAATACATGTAACCCTGTTTCAAACTCATGCATGTACGTATGCACATACTCAAACTCATATAAATATTCTTGAAAATACACAAATAAATGTAAGTATGAACATATTCATACACATACATGTACTTGTTTACATAACAAATAAATACATATACATGTACCCACGCATATATTAAAATACATACATGTACTTGTGTACATATACAAATACATATATTGTGTACATACACAAACATATACAAATGCCCTTGCACATAGAAAAACATACATGTATCCATGCATATACACAAATGTATAAATGTATACGTGTACATACACACACGAAAACATGATAAACACGAACTTTTACAGAAACAAACATTTACTTTAGTCACAGTAAATAATCGGTTAAAATGTTTGTGCGTAAGAATGTATGTGTGTATGTCTGAATGTGTATGCGTAAAACAGAGAGAGATTGTGTGTATACGTTAGTATACGCTCTCTAAAAATCGGGAACACTGTAGGTCATAGAAGACATAAAAACATTCGATCAGAAATGTCGCAATCTGTAACCTACTCTACAAACATATTTACCAGACAAAAGAGAAATGATCATCAACTTCAATATAAAAAACAATTGATCTTTTAGTGCAATATATATATATATATATATATATATATATATATATATATATATATATATATATATATATATATGTATATGTATATATATATATATATATATGTGT